AATAAATAAATAAGCAAGCAAGCAAGCAAGCAAGCAAGCAAGCAAGCAAGCAAGCAAGCAGGCCACAGCTAGTTCTAAAACACACAAAAAGTGAGTTATATACATACAAACATCCTGTTTGACCAGCTGAAAAAGGGGTGCTTCACAGGAATTAGGAAGACAAGAACCTGGGGGCAGACCTTCTCACTGGAAGACTCAGCCCTCTGCAACACACTAGCCCCCAAGCTCCAGAAGGCCCCCATACCTTTAGTTTTTGGAAACACAACTTTTCCCCTAATCATTTGAGGTCTGAGGCATCAGTCCCAGGTTGGGGGTGCTCTATTTGTAATAACGTTTTATATATTTCTCTTAAGGGGAGTTTTATGTTTTCTAATTTGATGTGCGTCACCTAAAATTTCTGTAAGTGGGCAGGATATCAGTACTGTAAAATAAATAAACATAGAAGTCCATATACTGTATAGCAGTCAGAACTATCAAAAGCTTTAACCAGTCGCAAGACCAACCCCCACCCGTCAAATTTTTTAACTTCAATTGTTTTAGTTTTTGCACAAGTTGGAGAACAAATTGGTCCTTCCCTTCATTGCTACATCTCTTGTAGACACCAGGATCTTTAAAAAAACCAAGTCCAGAACAGACAAGAGAATGTACCTATGGTTGTGTAATATACACTTTATACCCACAAGAATACAGATCCTGCAAGTTTCAGGAATAGCTGGGAGGCCATCTGTCTGTAAATTAAGTGAGGCTAGCATAGACCCAGATCTGCAGGGAGAGGACAATCAGAAAGCAACTCTGGCTTACACTCAAAGAGTTCTCAATGTTGATCAACCAGCCATCAAAACGATAAAACTCTGCGATTGCAGCCAGCTGCTTAGCCACAGCACGATATGCTTCATCCTCGCCTGCCAGAAATGATTCGCACATCTTCTCACCGTCTGTCCACTCCGTGATGAACGTTCCTGCAAGCAGGAAAAGCAACACAGGAAGATGCTGACTCTCTTAGCTCCTGTCCTCTTCAAAATCTCTCTTATCAGGCCAGGAGGAAGTTAGCACTGACCCTAAAGAAGGAATGTCAACCAAAGACATGCTAAAGAAGGAAATAAGGGAGCCCTGCTGGACTGAACTGAAGACTAAGTCCAGTATTTTGCCCCACCCCCCACCCCTGGCCAGCCAAATGCTTCTGTTGTCACTCCATGAAAGTGACAACAAGAGAAAAGTCAGAAATGGTCTCCACCATAAAGCAAAGCCAAAAAAGAGCATCAGAGGCACACCACAACCTGCTGGGTTTGCAAACTATGCTCAATGGAGAGTAACCTATCTTGCTTTTATTATTATTTTTATTGATTAAATAATATTTATTGATTCAAAATGGGAGCCTTTTCCCTGGAAGTTCAAGGGGGGTTATCTAGTTATCTCCTTTCATTTTCTTGCAACAACCGTCAAGTTGGGCTGAGAGAGTAACAGGTCCTAAGGCACCCAGTGAGTTTCTGTGGCTGAAGATGAACTCCAGTCTCCCCAGTCCTAATCCAGCACCTCAACCAGTGCAGGTGACAAGTTCCTATGTGTTAGCAGGGACTCCCAGAAAGAGGAAAGAGTAACAGGAATACATCCAGTCAGCAAAAGTCAACAGCATGACATCAGTACACAATTAATGGGCAGGAGACTGATTTCATCCTCCAGAAGTGGAGCTCTCCATCTCAGCAGGAAGGAGGACAGGGAAGGATTCTGGAACATGAGCACCTCCTTACTGCATGCCCTAAACCAGTGTTTTTCAACCTTGGCAAGTTTAAGATGTATGGACTTCAACTCCCAGAATTCCCCTGGTATACTGGCTGGGGAATTCTGAGAGTTGAAGTCCACAATTTTGAACTTGCCAAGTTTCAGAAACACTGCCCTAAACAGTGTCACTTTCAGGGAAGGGCTCTGCTCAGTCCATTCACCATCTCCTCAAACCCACCTAGCATGAGAACGCCATTGCGGTGAGCAGCATTAGTCCACACCACCGGGGGGATGGTGACCAAGTGGTGACTGAAGTACACAAAGATGTCAGTATAGCACCAGTGGTAGAACACATAGGGATCACACACCTTTGCGCCCTGGATGAATCTGCAGATGGGAAGCAGAGAGAGAAACTTAGCAAAGGTCCAAAGGAGTGCAATGCATTCAGTTTACAGGCTTTGCTCCCCGCAAGCCAAAGTTGCTCTTAGTACTTTACCAGTCTGTTCAGGCTACTCAAACCAACCAAGGCTGTTTATTGTTTATTTTACTCTACCTGAAACAAGGGAGGCCCAGCAGCCATCCTCCCGTAGGAGGTTTTACAGTAACAGCTGGATTTCCCCTGATAATTGCTGAAGCCAAATTTAATTCCCTGTTCTCTTTTAGTGCAAGCATTCCAAGGCCAATTTCAAGGAGTACAGGAAGCAATAAAGCAGGAGCTTGTTTTGAATGACACACAGTAAAGCTGAGAGGGCTGCTTGGGGACCAGATCCCTCGAGTGGAAGACAGATGCCAGAAACCATACTGGGGGGAAGAGCAACTCTCTTGGATTGTTTTAGCACCTTGCAGTACCTTTCACCATAGATCGCTCCAGACTGGAGAACGCCCCCCACCCAACACCTCTACAACATTACAGCTCTGATCTAGAGGGTGGGGATGGGACTCACAGTTTTTGTTTTTTTTTAATTCAAAGCCCACTATTTACCCCAGCCATCCCCACATAGTTGCCTTGCAGATGTGTGGACTTCAACACCCAGAATTCCCAGGCCAACATGACATTGCTGAGCATTCTGGGAATTGAAGTCCAGGATGCGCATAGGAAGATGCTCAGGTTGGGAAAACTGACTAACATCACCACTGATGTCACACATAGTTTGGCTTTAAAAATGTCATCTGGGAAGCTTTTATTCAAACCTCCTCCTGAATACTCCTCCGGCACACTCCATTTTCAATACAAAGGTAATAATAACATTCTGCAGGACCACTGTGAGAATTATAAGACAGTGTACATGAAATGCTTTGATGAGTCTTGGTTTGAATGCTTCATCTGGCCACCCCAACTAACCAGGAATCCCTAGGAGGTGAGCATATGAAATCCTATCCAGAAGAGCCAGGAGGTATGGCATGGCCTCAGCAATTTTAGCAGAGAATCAGTTACAAAGCCTGCTTCATTCTCCACCTGTCTTCAAGGTAGCCCCCCCTCATGTCATGGCAGACCAGTGTGCGGGGCCGGTGGCTCTCAAGCGGGGGCTGGCGTTTAGCCAAAGGTTCAGTAGAAACATTGAAAGCATCGTCTTTGGTGGGTTTCCAAGCAAGCAGCTCTTCCAAGCCAGAGAGGTAGAAGCTGATCGGTTCAGTGGTGTGCCTGTCATATTGCCTGGCTGGAAAGAGAAGTTCAGAGGTTACTGCCTAGGGCTTTCGGCAGAGGAGTGTGCCGGCTCCCAAGGGGCAAAAATGCAAGCCACCCAACACCAAATCATACCAGGGAGTGGATCAGGAGCAAAACTGACCACTCTGTGGAGAACGGAAGATCTCTGGCTCTCCATATCCAGCTGTAAACTGAAAAAAGGAAAAAGAATCAGAAGGACCATAGAAATATAGAGCTGCAAATAACCTCAGAGGTTACCTTGTCCAACTCCCTGCTCAGTGCAGGAACTGCTACAGCATTTTAGACAGACAGCTGTCCATCCTGTTTGAAGGCCTCTAATGAAGAGCATCATACCCCTAGCAGCCTGCTCCACAGGTTGACACCTCTTAACAACAGGAAATTCCTCTTAATGTCTAATCTGAATTTACTTCTCTGTGGTTTCAACACAGTGGTTCTGGTCTTGCCCTCCAGGCCAACAGCAAACAGGCTCTCTTCCTCCTTTCTATGACATGTTTTTGGATATCTGAAGACTTGTCATGATTCCCCTAGTCTTTTCTTCTGTAAACTAAATATATCCAGTTCCCTTTACCATTCCTCATAGGACTCTGTTTCCAGTCCCCTTGCTATTTTAGCAGACCTCCTCTGAACTCGCTCCGGTTCCTCTATGTCTTTTTTGGGCTGTGATACCTAGAACTAGACATAATACTTCAAGTGGGGCCTGACTAAGGCAGAATAGAGATTATTTCCTGTGAATTGGACTCTCTGCTCCCATTAATACATCCCAAAAGAACATTTGCCTTTTTAAAAGTTGCATTCCCCCCCCATCCCCCCAAAACCCTTCATATTGTAGGAAGATTTCTTTATTACACAGATGGCCGTATTTATTTTTCTACATTCAAACAGATAATGTGTGTGCAAACAAAACAATAAAATCAGTACAGAATCATTATATAGGGAAACTTACACAAAACCCCCTACCAGTTAAAACTTTTTTTTTTAATTAAAATATAAGTATCCTGTAAAAACAAACAAACAAACAAACAAACTTGACTGGCACTGACAAGACACCAAAACAAGCAACTCTCTTGGTGGAAATTCTGATAGACAAAGTATCTCCAGTCAAATGCTACGAAAGAGGCTGAGTGTCTGCCCAATAGGATCCTTATCTGAGGGATTTAAATGCAGAGGATCACATTTCCTGCAGCGGTTGCTCTAGATTTAGATTCTGAGGAGACTACAATAAAATTTCCCCTAGAAGAGACAATTATAAACTGAGTTCAGTTCTATCCGCAACATGGCCCTGATTTGGGGTTATGTAGGCAAAGATTTTGCTAATGAACGCAGGGCCTCTTTTTGCACCTCCAGTCTCTGACCGGGGCCATGTCCCCACTTGCACAGAGCCATGGCACACTCATTCTGGGCCACAGTAGTCCCCTGCTTGGTTTTCATGACATGGTCCTTGCTGGCTCATGAACCAGGCATCTGTAGCTATGCCAGTACTGAAGTACTACAAGTAGTATTTTGCCTCTGATAATAGTACCCACCAAGGGCGGCCTCAAGCATGTAAAAACAGCTACATTCTATAGGAGGTTAAACCCAACGACGACTAATGAGTAGAATCAAGAAGATACTTTTGGGGTGTTTGAGGCAGAGGTGACAATGCCCGTCCGCTGGGGTCCCCAGCCAACCTCTTTAGACACCATTCCGATAGTCTCTCTCTCTCCCTATAGAAGTTGATACAACATTTTAAAAAAAACCCTACTTAGGTATTATCGTGAAGAACACCACATGGGCCTGTCCACGAGGTTGCCAGGATTCAAGCTCAATCTGAAGATTTATGCTACTTTAAAAATATCAACAGGCTGTACTTGGTCAGATTTGCATAGCTTGGTGCATAAACCCATCAAGCAAATGACAAAGTAGATTAGCGAAACTAATTAGAATATTTTTGGCAAGAAAGCTACAGGGGTGTGGTAGCTTTGCGGTCACCAGATTTCAAGCTCAACTGGAAGGAGACTTTACATTAGTTTCTCAGGGTAAATAATAGGTGGAAGCAGGGGGCACCATTCATCAACACTCAACTAGACTGGCACAGCAGCACTAACACTGCTGCTGTGTGGTCTTTGGCGTACGGCTGCAACAGCGTAACAGTGAAATGGTAACAGGGAAGGAGAGAATTCCTAAAGGAAAGCAATCTCTCCCCAGAAATGCTCCCAGTATCTCATCTTGGTTCATGTTTCTTCCTTTCTTTATTAAACTTGTGTTATGACAGAAGGGGATATAAGAGGAGGGGCCCAGAGATAACAGGTTCTAAGGCCAGACTCGTCCCATGTTGGCTGTGGTGCTGCCCAGGGGGTCCAGGTGGGGAAGTCAAAGGGGGCAGAGTTTTCATTGTGCAGTTGTGACCAACAGCTCGACTTGTTTTTTTTAACTTTTCCCTGCAGATGCCCCCAATACCATGATTGGTGGGTACTTTGCCTGGCAGCTGGTGATATGCTAAAGAAGGAGGGCAGCAGGATTAAACCAATCCCTCTATGGATGCCATGACAGAGTCGAGACAAGAATCAAGAGCGGGAATGGGAAATTTCAGGTCAATGTTGGTTTTAGCTGACTCAAAGCGCTTTAATTTTAGTGGTGGGGAAAGTCCTGCTTCATCACCCCAGGTTTCTGCAATTCCACTGTTCCTGGAATGCAATTCCACCTGTTTCCAATCTAGGGACACTAAGATTATAATCTCTGTTCCCTGCAAGAAAATCCAGCTGGATTTAATGTGGATCTCTCTTTCACTCATATAATGATTATTATTATGGGCAAACCCTGGTGGTTAAGGATTTGTAGTCTTACTGGTTAAGCCACCCTAGGTGAGTCTGTGTGAGGGGGAAGCTCCATTTGATCCTCCCAGCACCTGGATAAGGTTACCATCATTACAGCATCAAGGCATCCCTTAATAGTATCGCAGATTCTGAAGAGGGTTGATGAGTCCCTTTGAACCAGGCTAGATCTGGCTCTTTAGAAACTATAGGATGTTAAGAGCATGGCAAGACTTTTGGGGAAGTTTATGGGCCAGGCAAGGCAGATTCAGACATACTCTCCATCCCCAGTCAAGGTTGTTTCCCTAAAAAGACCCTCAGCCTAGCTGGGACTAGGATGCAACACAGTGGAGGTCACCAAGGAAGGGAAAGCAGAGCTATTCCAAGGGACCTGCCCATTCATAGCTCCTATCTAAGCTTGACCAGGAGATTCAGGATTTCCAAGTGACAGGACTCCGCTTCCAGACATGGGAAATAATATAAGCCAAGAGATGCAGAGTTGAGAGAAACTTCTAACCCATCACTGAAGACTCCAGGAAGCCCCCCGCATCCAGGCTTGCTTTCAGACTTCACCTCTGCCCAGGAGAACCCATTTTCCAGACCAAGGCTAGAAGGGCAAAAAAGGGAGCTTCCTAGTTAGCCAGTGAAGCTCAGCAGGCGAGCCAGCTACTTTGAAAAAGATGCCATGAGGGTTGAGGGCCAGGGAGGCGTGCAAAGTCCACCGAAAATCCTCCCAGTCCGTGATAACTTGGACAGCACCACGTTACAACTTCCCTCTACTAAGCCAACTACATATTCGCGTAACCACGCTGTGGCAGAGCCTTAAATAAGACGCCAGCATGCCCTCTGAGCGTGTGCAGCATGCCTCCTCTTCTCCAACGAAGGGCACCGCTACCTCTCCTGTGGCATACACCGGCTTTCTTTTCCAGACGAGATCGGCACTCCGCTCCACGGCTTGCCCCCTTACAACATCCCCAGCCCCGCCCGGCTCCCCTCCCGTCCCTTCCCTACCTCAGCCCGGGTCTGAAGCGCCCCTTGGCGGGATCCTGGTCCTCTTCCAGCCCGCTCTCCTCCTGGGCGAGCTTGAACCCGCTCTTCCCCCCCTCCATCCCGCCTCCTTCCATTACCGCCCCTCACGGCTCCCTCCTCCGCCGGTCACATGGAGGCAGGCAGCCTCCGATCGCCAGCCAATCCTCGCAGCCGCTCGACGTCTTCGCAGCGCGGGCAGCGGCGCCGGGCGACCCAGCTAGCCAGAGCAAGCGGGGACGGCCAACGCGCGGCCGGAACAGTCTCGTTTCGGGGGCCGGGAGGACGCCCGCCTTTATAGCCGGCAAGACCGATCTCTTTCCTGGAAGGTGGAAAACGTCGCCCACTCTTGGAGGAAAGGAAACCACCCCTTCCCGTTAAAAGGCCCGCCAGAATTAACTATACGAGTGGTAATTAGGACGCAGGGGAGCGCACTCTGCCTATTCTCAGAGGCTCTCCCTCTGATCAGTCTGGTAAAGTCATCTCGGGGTAGAGTCCTGGCTGCCGAAAGCCGCCGAGTCAGATGGGGAACTCTCCTGAACGTCAGGCTGATGGCTGGACATACTTTCCCCTTAATTCTGGTCGACTGATAATCCTTCGGAAGCTTTCTACAATGAGGTCCAAATAAAACGCTTCATCTCTGGGAACACGCAGGCAGGCCGGCCTGTCATAGCATCCCTCGGAGCACCAGGGTCAATAGCCATTTGTGAGTGGTTCAGGAGATATAGCTGTCATATAGCATTTAAGCTATACGTATTGGATGCAAGCATTTAATAAAGCATTTAATAAAGACCAGAGTCACTGGTCTGAGATGGGCGGCTATATAAATTGAATGAATGAATACATAAATAAATAAATGATAAAGTACATGAGCATTTAATAAATGAACTGGTGCTTTGAAGCAACAAGGACCTCAGTACTTGTATATAACAGCGACTGCCCGATTTGCATGCCTTTGGACTACTGACTTAAGAAAAGTTCAACAGCTTAAAACAAATACAAACACCAGACAGTCCTCATTGTCAGAAAGATCAAGGCAGGAATACAGCACTGGATTCCTGGATCTGCTCTCAGTCCCCATAGAAAAGAAAAATGGTTTTGTAAGTAAGTTGCTGTAGAGAAATCAAATGAATCTGAGGCAGGCACTGGAATGCAATCTTCCTGAAGCTTTGCAGGCAAGAATCTTAATACAAGAGACAGCACATACACACTGGGTATTTTATTGATGCTTAACATCTCACATTTTTATTAAAAATATTTTAAATGGCAACAGATGAGGCTGCTTCCACCAGAGGTGGACAACCCATTGCCCTCCTGTTGCGTGTAGCCCTAAACTCCCTTTGGGGGTCCCTGGGAACCCCTTGCACCTATGATTACTGCAAACTGGCAGCACTGTTTCCTACTATTTAAATGAGAAACACAAGAAAACATAAGCCCTAAAAAAAAGAAAAACTCTCCAAAATTGTCCTCCCCCAAACCTTGCTCTGTGTATCCATGTGGGGTGGTTCCACCCGCTTGATATCTCCCAGTCCCACAAAATATGACATGGCCTTTGGCCACCAAGAGGATACCAACTCCCAGCTAATTTAGAGGACATTCCATTAAAACCCGTGTACAGAACGTGTAAAACTGGGGCAGAGACCACAAAACAGGATTTTAATAATGTTCTAAAGTCTTAAATTGGTACAAAACACTTTCATATGCAGCACTAATCTAATATTACTTTGAAAATATGATTTCATCTTACATTGTTTCCAAATATATTTTCTATTCTCCTTTTGTTTTTCTCATATTTAATTGTGTTTTTAAATATCTCCTAAAATTAACAAACAGGGAACTGGGGTACATAACAATCATACAAAACAGATTGTTTGCTCTGATTGTTTCAATCAGAGAAAAGTAAACGTGAAATAAGAATGAGAGACCTGCTGCCCAGGGGTGTTCTACTATGCCCAGTGGGTATCTGTAGGGAGTTATTTCCTACAATCAGCAAGTACTGTATGTATTAGATGTACTGGGGCTACAAATCCCAGGATTTCCAGGCAACATCTGAAGGGTACTTGGTTGGAGAAATGGACGGGCTGCTGTGGCCATTGGTATGCAGAAGCAAAGTGTTGGGTGGGGAGCAGGGTTGCTCAGAAATCCTGTGGTGCAATTGTCAGTCCTCTGCTATTTCACTCCCAACAAGGTTATTTCAGTTGGAATATTAACCTTCTGCTTTAGCTGCAGTTAATTTCACTCTCAGTTTACTCTGGGAACAATCTCTCTAAACTGCATATCATCATTGCACTGTTTCTCCTCTGTGGATGTGAACATTCAAACTTCATTTCTCTCTAGACAATTTACTTCAAGCTGGGAATTGTCATTCCACAATCCTTCTGTCCTCTGAAGACCATCATTTTGTCATTGTCCTGATCTAGAAACTGTTATTCCACTTGGTGGTTCTTCTCAAAGCACTTGGTGGTTCTTTTTGAGGCAATTAATCTCCATGGTTTCCCCAAGCAATTTCCATGCCAACTTGCTCCACAAAGATTCCCAAATTTGTATCTGCACATTTCTCTTTCATCCAAGTATGTTTATTCTCTTTCTGGTTTAACATACTTGGACTTTGATGTTTATCTATGGTGATATAACTGCACCTCCTGTCATAAAGCATGGTTAGATATCATTTCAAGACCCCATTACATAAGCCATATCCTCCAAAATATGGATCCCTAAGAGACTCCTGATCTTCTTCAACCTGGCACCTCAGAGAGCCACTATGTAAATCCATTTAAGTAGATGTGGATTTCCCCAGCTTTATCCCAAGGGGAAGATTGGGAAAAAAGAGGGCCTCTTAAAAAAAAAAATAGCAGGAAGGACTGGGCCCACCTAAGGTCCAGAGCACATCTAAATCAAATCTGAAGTGTTCATAGCCTTATTATTTTCATTCCCTGTTGTTTTCAAAAGTAATTTTAGATTGTTTTCTATAACCCATTTTAATACCCACTTACGCAAAGTGTCAAAATAGGGAACAATTATTTGCTTGCTGCCTCTTCCCTAAAAACTTTGGAAGAGTCACTCCAGCCTCTGCTAAGAGCTATTTTGGATCCTGGGAGATTCTCAGTCACTCCCTCTAAGAAAATTACCTGGCAGAAACATGGTTTGAACATCAATCACACTTTAAGTTCTTTCCCTTTCCCTGGATTTTTAACCATTTTTTCCTCAAGTTTTTGAAACTGCCTTGCCTCATCAAGAATTTTTGGGAAACTCAAAAACTTACAACCATTTTGTTCAGTTGCACTAATAAAACCATTGCCTCAATATGGAGGTTTTTGTCTCCTAATGGTCAGTACAACTGTTATTGTTTCTTTTAAGTGAAAGTCTCCTCCACATACCATGTACCTAACCTGTTCAGTAACTGAACTTTCCCTCTTTTTGGAGATGAATCAGGGTGTGTGCAGTGGAAGGGCTAAAGTAGTAGGGTAAACAGTTGGAGATTTCAAACTCCCTCTTCCAGAAGCCCCTTGGAACCACAAACCCTAGTTCCATCTCCTACCTTGTTGTGCAATGTTGTAGATACTGCAGCTGCTTTTAGTGTATTCCCCACTAACCCCTTTGTGTGAGAGAGATAGGACTCTCATGGCTAGTAAGGAAAAAAAAAGACTTTTTTTCCATCTGCTTTCATCTCTTTTTTTCTTTTCTGCTTCTTACTTACAACAGGTTGGGAGACAGAACGCATTGCACATGGTCACTTCATGAGCCCCAGGAAGTAAGGCTTCTTAATCCCTTGTTTAAGTGAGTGGGGGAAGGCAGAGAGAGTTGACTGCTCTTTGTCCTTGACCTGCTTTAGAAACAAAAATGGAACGCATAGCCTGTGGATGCTCTACTGCAGTGTTTCTCAACCTTGGCCACTTGAAGATGTGTGGACTTCAACTCCTAGAATTCCTCAGCCAGCCATGCCATGCTGGCTGGGGACTTTTGGGAGTTGAAGTCCACACATCTTTAAGTGGCCAAGGTTGAGAAACACTGCAGTAGAGCATCCACAGGCTATGCGTTCCATTTTTGTTTCTAAAGCAGGTCAAGGACAAAGAGCAGTCAACTCTCTCTGCCTTCCCCCACTCACTTAAACAAGGGATTAAGAAGCCTTACTTCCTGGGGCTCATGAAGTGACCATGTGCAATGCGTTCTGTCTCCCAACCTGT